GGGTTGCATTGAGTACACCGCGAATCGGATAAGAGGCTAGGATATGAGGCCATCAGGGCATCACCATGTAAGGGGTCTATGACGAATGCCAGGAAGCGACAACTGATCCCGATACGTAGTACGATCCTTGGGTGCTGACGTTTCCAGCAACGCCAAGATCGCCTCTTTCTCTCTATCACCTCAAAACCTGCTTACATGGTACGATGAATGTACCGGCCAAAATGCCGAATGAACGCACATTCAGATCGAAATTGACCGAATCGCGCGTTTCACAGACAAACCCATCCACCCTCAAGCATCCGAGATAGTGCAGCGGTAGGGCGTAGACGCCATAACCCCAGTGAGACTATGGTAGGTGGGCTGGAGGTGGTCTCAGACACCTCCGACCTGTTCTACACAGAACTTCCTACCAACTGCTTTCCGGCGCGCTCGTGGGGGTATAAATGGGTCATGGGTGACGATTGGTCTGCCATCTTTTTGTTCTCCATCGCAAGCTAGCCCGATGCGGAGAAACATTCTACCGACAACCTCGTCGAACAGCTACTTACAGTGTTTGCAAGGCCGTAAGACCGCCGAAGATTCCCTCAGGCAGCGTGGTGAGCTCGTTGTGGCTCAGGTACCTTCGGGTGTCGAGGGAAGGCCACGAGCGGAGCAGATAACACACATGAGCTAGGAATCAGTGCTTGCTACCGCACATGGTGATCTACGAAGCGCGGCCAGCCCACCAGCATGTACGGACGTCCTTCAGTACAGTGGCGCTAGCAACGCCGCGGCCGCCGCGATGAGCTGGGTACAACCACAACAATCATGCCTCCTTCCCGTTACAGCGAAGGCGACGAATTGGCAGCTGGAACCCGTTCCAGGGTTGCATTGAGTACACCGCGAATCAGATATGAGGCTAGGATATGAGGCCAACAGGGCACCACCATGTAAGGGGTCTACGGCGAAGGCCAGGAAGCGACAACTGATCCCGATACGTAGTACGATCCTTGGGTGCTCACGTTTCCAGCAACGCCAAGATCGCCTCTTTCTCTCTTTCACCTCAAAACCTGCTTACATACGATGAATGTACCGGCCAAAATGCCGAATGAACGCAGATCGAAATTCACTGAACCATGTGTTTCACAGACAAACCCATCCACCCTCAAGCATCCGAGATAGTGCAGCAGTTGGGCGTAGTCGCTACAACGGCAGCGAGACTATGGTACGTGGGCTGGAGGTGGTCTCAGACACCCCCGACCTGTTCTACACAGAACTTCCTACCAACTGCTTTCCGGCGCGCTGATTGATTATTAAAGGGTCATGGGCACCATCGTGTCTCTGGTTGTTGCTGAGGTGACAGTAATGTACCATGTAGCTCGACTGTACGCTCGCCTCAAGCCGACTTGGATATCAGCAGAGCACTTTGCAAAGGCCGCTTCCAACAAAAATAACAACCGGTCAATACCTTACCTTTATGGCAGATTGATGCACTCACAGGGTTGTTATTGTTTCTGGTCCGGCGGCTTCCAAGCACGACGCTAGATCGTCGAAATCGGCATCTGTAATGCCGCACAACCCGAGGCTCCTGGGATAACATAGCACACACCAAACGGCGCGTCAAGTCTTGCTCGATTTGAGGTGCGGCGGAGTTGTTTCACGGGAAGCGCGTGAACATGCGTGAAGAAATACCTTGCTCAATGCCCTGAATTCAACAATACTGCCCAATGTTAACGTTTCCCGACCAACGGGTACCGGAGGTTAGATAATAATAAACACCGCCGATCTTGGAGCGAACATTAACGAGGAAATTGCAAAACCCCACCCTGCAAGGTAACTCAACCGTGCTGCAACGAGCCATGCCGAGGATCAACGGGTGCCTTGTCAGCCACCATCAAACACGTCTGGGGTCTTGCGTGGCAATAACACAAAATTCGGTGGGGGCTCACAAGTTTCCGTTAGCATCAATTTGACATCTGTCGGCGTCGGTGGAGTCCAGGCAAACATTAACTGCAACCAACGGCGTACGCAGGACAGACGGCAGATGAGAGGAGATGAGTGGGCGGGTGGTGAGATTGGCACAGAACTGTAAGCATCTGTACCAGATATGACTCTTGCCGAATCGACCAGCGGACCAGGGCACCGCACTGCGATGTTCCACGATAGAGAAGAGATACCGGAGTACGAGACAAACGAAAAAGCGAGCTCGAAAAAACTGGTATCGACGCCACAGGCTCTCTGTATACGAAAATGACGGGGGAGTCGCAAACGTATCCAGTCGATCAACCATGGACCGCAGCCTCCACAACCAATACCACCGTGGCGGTTCGAGGCACGGAGTATAGCACAAGACAAGGTCCGATGACATCAGCACACGAGCACAGGCAGGGTAGATATCGAGTTGACATCTCTCCGAACGGTGGAAAGATGCTTCCGATTTTTGGTTTCCAAGCTTACCTAAAGCAGTATGTCTACAATAGCAACACTGTGTCGTCAAAATGAAGCTGCTATGGCGTTCGCGTCCCATACGCTACAGTACACCTTCCTTTATCCACGTGGAACCGTTCAAATAACGGAAATTCCAAATCAAGGGGTCCACCGAGGTCGAAGATGGGTTCCGTTGATAGGGCAGTCTGAACACCGACAAAGGACTGCTGCAAGGACATACAGCATCGCACGATTCGACAAACTCTGTTGCGTGAGATCGACCCCTCCGAAACAGGAACAAATGTCGCAGCTGGCAAGGTGTTCGAAAACGACCCAACACACCAGCGGCACCAACGTTGGCCTACGACGTAAACCTTTTCACCATTCCAAAAAAATCGGTCACTCTGGTCAACAAATTCTTCAGGGGGGTACTGTAAGGCGATGGGGAGCCGCTCACGATTGTGGTTTTGCAATCACCAGCTTCTCCACCGGGGAAATCGGCTACTCGCTACTCGAAGAGGTGAACAAACGTAATGCAATCATATCCCTGTGTTTGCAAGCGAATGAATCCCCCCCTGTTCGGTCTACCGCCTGCCTACTAGGCAAATGGAAACAGCGTTTACATGCCAGCGGTTGGATCAACATACTGGTCTGCCCCTGCTGTGTCACGGAACGACGTTGGAGAGCTGTGGTACGGTTTTGACCACCGAGAGGAGTTGACCGTGGCGGTAACACGTACAACTTACACACCCATCGATCGAGTTGCCCAGTGCTGCTCAAACGAACCTATCCACCCACCTGCGGAGGTGTCCAAAAACGTGGAGAGCCCAAGCAGAATGATCAAAGTCATCTCCAGCATTCTCCTGCGCCGTGTCCATAATGATGGAAGAAAAGATGAGCTGCACGTTTCGGGAAAGGATGGCATGGACGGATTGAGTAAGGAAAGTCTTCGGCGTTGTACTTGTAGTCGCCGGTTACAGCGAATCCAAGAACAGCATTTGGCACTCGAGCGGGGGAGCGGATGCACCAACCAGTCCCGTCTTGAAGATCTCTTCGAATACATATTGGACACGTTCTCTATTTTACTTAAAATATTGATTGCGGACCGCTCCGCGCGCGCGTGTGTGCGGTTGCAGCCTGGAAGCAGCGTGTCTCGCACAGCATCTCAGACAGAAAGTACTGCAACGTTTTGAGTCGTAACCCGTGGCTCATTTACCCCGCCCTACTACAACAGTATTGGGTTTGGTGGAGAATATTTAGTTTTCTTCACGTTGTCAGCGGCCCCCTTCGGACAACCGATGTTGTAGGTGGCCTCCACCGGTGGAGAAACTTCTTGTTGCTCCACCAGGCAGATCTTCACCCATAGAGCCGCAAGCGATCTCAAACCAACTGCATCCCGTAGGTATGGGCTACAGCTATGATCTATCGCAGCTACTTACAGCTTAATAGGACCATGGTTACCGAGATCTGCTATTTTGTGTACCTACCTGGTCTGCAGCAGTACCTCCACTCTCCACACACCTTCATTATACCTCCGTTACATATTGTGTTGTACGTACATTCTACCTTCACAGGAACACGTCGCAGTGTCACTTGACAACTTGCTTGATTGTATTGTTGCGGTTGATCTACACGATGCACTGCAACATTCCAAATCGAGGCGGATGAACCATCTTTCCTGTGTCTTGTTGGATGACGCATCTAGGCCCTGTCGGCTCGTTGACGCCATATTGATAGCATCCACATTGATTGTAGAACATCAGCAGTGAAGGATACGCTTATCAAGATGTAGCGAAAGATGTGGTACGGACATCTCAACAGATACGCATACGGCCAAGAAGAATGTGTTCATAAAAGATTCCCATCTGAAATATCGTGATCCGCAGGAAGGGGTTATCGTTAGCCAATCGAAAGGTAGAAGGCACGACTGCAGCCGCACAGATAGAGAGACATGCTTCCGGGCTGATGGTGGAGGCGATGGCAGGAATACTAGCCAGGCGTACACCAATATTTTCCGTCGTATCGCTA